TGGATGGATGGATGGATGGATGGATGGATGGATGGATGGATGGATGGGTAGATTTTGTGTTTCAGTTGTTATTTCTCAGTTCCCTGACCTGTCTTAATGTGTCTTTGCTGCATATCAGTTGTACCACATGCCATTTGCATAGGATTACCTTTCAGGGAAAGAAACAGGATAGTATTTACACATCTGTTGCGAGTTAAAAAGTCTGTCCTCACAGACTGTCTGGCAGGAAACAAATGGGCTTGACATATAATATTCACTTTGTACCTGATGGTTCCTGAATGCGGTGTGACATGCGTGTGCACATTTGACCGTGATTTTCATAGACTGATTTGTTTTTTTAGTTTTATGAAAGTTTAAAACTTGTGTTTTCACCAGAAACACCCCCAGACCGGAGAGGTCTAAAAGATCCAAGGTTCAAATCGGGTCTGCTAATGTGTGCAGTGTTGGAGTATCGGACAGCCCCTCTGAGCCATGTGTGAACACAAAACTCCTCCATTTGAACCATTTCTGTCCATTTTTGTTCTTGCTGTTTTTTATATTTTGTTTTGCATGTGTAATATGTTTTGTTTGTTTGCTCTTCACCATCAGAGCACTTCTCGATATCTCTAAATCACCACGTATCTTCCTATCTGTCTGTAAATACTCAGTGTAGGAAGGGCCAGCCCCTCTCAGAATCAGCTCTTTTTACTAAATTCAGTGTGTTTTCATTTGTGCTTGAACATTTTACTACTCTGATTCTTTTTCTGACCACTCTTATCACAGTCTGAGCTTTGCACCTCATTCAGTGCTTGATTTAACAGCTTTAACTGGTAACGTCACGTCTCATGATTCTCTTTTCTATTTTCAAAATAATAATGATTTTGAAAAATTGTACCATATTCATTCTCTTTTGCTCCTCAGCAGCCTGTCAACATAACTCATTATCAGCCTGCAGAGCTTCAGATTAACAATAACAGGTCCGGCTTTGCAGATATGAGAAAATGCATTCATAGTTAAACAGCTCAGGTCGGACTTTAGAACAAAAATGACACATGTGAAAAGTTGTGTTTGTGTTAATTTGACAGATTAATTTATCTGAGCTTTTTTAATGGCGGTAATGCTGTAATCTAAAACTTCTGGTTTGATTTGGAGAGTCACATCTGCTGCTGCCGTCAAACTCAACGTCTCTAAGACTCTTAGAGCTTTGGTGGTGCTACACCTGAGACGGCTGAGTCACAGAGGCGGAAACAAAACCTGAGGAGCACTCGACCCGTCAGGAATGTTCACAAAAGGTTCAGAGTTGCCTCAGAAGCAATGTGCTTGTGTAGGGTCCCCCGTGGAGGGGGGGTGGGCAAAGCAACGCCTGAAGGGTGCCGGTTCCTGGAAAAAGTTCCTGAGGCGTTCGGGTCAGTGCAGCTAAAGAAACACTGGCCAGGGGAATGGAGGGAAGGCTTGTTGAAAAAAGCTGCCCAATCATTTCACATCTGACATGATAAATGAGCACATTAGCCATCGGTTGAGCAAAGATAACAATCAGCTGGCTCTGCAGGGCGCAGATTGAGTAATTATTGGGCCGAATGGCCTTTGAAAGGTCCTCATAAAGTTACATAATGATTGTTAGAAACTTCATTCGAGGAGGGTTGATTGTTTTTATGGTGAAGTAATACATCAAATGGTCCCGTGTAAACATTGCCAGGCTGTTAAGTTTGTGATGAAAAGCCTATTATAACCCAATTTCCTGAAATTGTTTGCAACGTCCAACAGTTTTGCAAAAATGTCAAAATTTCCTTCTGCGGGAGAATTCATGTTTGTTACCGACGTTAAATTTCAGATTTGTTAGTCCTTAATAACCATATAACCAGGTTTTGATAGAGAAAGTTTTGTAATAAGCAAAGTCTGACATTTAAGATAATCATGTACAAAAAAGTGGTTTGATAGTATATTTCGATTTAAAAAGGATCTTTATTTAATAATATATTTCAACCCTATCAATGAGCTATGAATATGCATGAGTTCCTATCCCATGAGGCAATGTGTTCCTCTCACATTTTAGGGTTTTGAAACTTGAAGGATTAACCCAGCAGGGCTCAGATGTTATTGAAAAAACAGCAATAAAAGCCACTCAAAGCTGTCATCACTGATCACTGGCACTGACGAGAAAAAAATGGCCGCACGGTTTCAAACGGCCACAGGTCAAACAGTGTGCTGGGCAGCTAACGTCAGGGTCTCCTACTGCCATAGAAACCAGTAACAAGAGGCCAAGAAAGCAAGTTTCCCAAACTTGGATGTGGCCTTGCATTTGGGATCGGTTTTGGGAATCCAGCTGTTGGAGTTTAAAAAAGTGATAAATGTGATTACTGAAAACCAGTGACCCTTGTTCCAGATCTTGCCCTTCTCTTCTTCTTTCCCTCTGCGACAGCTCAAACGGGCGGCAGGCTGTTTCTCATCGAAGGAGTCACACTTGTTCCAATTGGAAACAGGTTGTAAAAAAAACCATCATCTGAACCTTAAATTCAGCTCAAACATCTGGGATAGAATAAGAAAACAAGCCTTGAATCATCTGTGATTTCAAATGATGAGTTAAGTGTAATTGTTTTGTCGTAGGCAAGATTAGGGGTTTGTTTTCCGTGATCCGTGCCATTAAAGTAACACTGCCACCACTTTTAGAAAATCATAAAGGGCAGATGTGAACGTGGCTCTGAATATGTGAGACGGGCTTTTTTAAAACAAGTGTTTTACAATCATCTGTTTAAATTAAGAGCCATTATTGCAAGTCACAGTATTCCTTCTTCATGTGACTTTTTACACAAAATACCTCAAGGTTTTTGGCAGCTCTTTCTTCCTTTAAACTAGAGCTGCAACGTCTCATTTAAAAGAGCCTGACACTGCGCACATGGTCATTAACTTCATCAGGGTTCACATCTGTTTCCCCACCAATGCGGACACCTCACTTCCGGGTACAGGAGAGTTAATGTCTTGGGAACAACCAGATGCAGTAATCTACCCCCAGTTTGTCAGGTTAGACTCCTTGCTAACTGTTTATCAAATATGCTTAGTGGCTTTAATCTTCTAACACAGCTGAAAGGGTCAGTATTGATATTTATTGCCTCATTCCATGGCCTAATTTTCTTGTTCAGCTCATTTAATGAAGAGCAATCTGAAAGAAAATAAGTAAATTGTCCACGTCTCCAAAATTGTAGCCTGGTCATGGTCTGTGGCTGGAACGGTAATGCCTTTGGAAATCCTCTCACATTTCAAACAGCGAGAGTCAAACAGGGAGAGGAGTTTCACTCTAGTCACCAGCAGGAGAAATTTCATGCTAAGGCAAAAACACATGTTGGAGACCTTTATTTGCCAAAATCAGGAGTTCTCGTCAATATGAATTCTGCTGAAAACGAGCATGTGAACATCATCAAGTGCAGATGCACTCAGGAACTAATTGATGGCAGATTTTGCAGGAATCCTCTCCTGTGCGCATGAAAACGACAGAGAATATGTCTGTAACGTGCAACTGTGGACAGTAATAACCGTGAAATAGTCCTGTAAAAAAATGTGTTATGTCGTAAACAAGACATAACATTTATTGAATTGTGCACACACGAATAGAAACGCATAAATGCTATTTGTGGCCTTGCGCGACTTGTTTACAGCACTGTACAAAGGTGACGGATGGAAGATGATTAACTGTGGATTTGCACGCCCGTATTTCATCCACACACTTAACACAGATAAAGGGAATAATCAGGGCAGTGGTGCGTTCAACTTTTCCAAACTTGAATTCTTTGTTCAGACCTTACTTCTATGAGATTAGTAAATCTTTTTATAATCGCACACTGAGGACTCAGTGAGTCTCCTCAGAGCTTTTTTTTTTCCGTCTCTGTTACCAGCTCAGGACATCCCAAAATAACCTGAGACCAATCAAAACTGGCACAAGTGAAATAAATTATCAGAAGCCCCTTTTCCTGTATAATTCCATCGTATCTTTTCACCTTTTCTTTGAGAAATATTGATGCTAATGCTTTACGGTATCTATCATTAATGAAGTAATGGTTATACTCATCCCCTCAAGTTATCCATTCCTCTGAATATGCCCTCCAGTGCAAAGTCTACATGCCGTATCGTGAGGGAAGGCGGACTCATACCATTCACAGATGCCTGCGGGGGGTCATGGTCCATTACAATGGACAGACATCAGCTGGCCTATTGTTTGTGTTAGTCCTTAAGTGCAAGACCCTCATCCATGTTGATTGTGACATTTAGCACACTCATTACGAGCGTCATTAGCAGAGTCATTAACACCAGGACAACATGTTGAGGGGCTGCTTGGAGACTGTTATCTGCTCTTGCCACTGGGTAAATAAAAGGGGAGATGTCGTGATGTAAATACCGACGTCCAACAACAATGTGCTGCTAAGTGAGGATGACTGATAAAGGAAGGGAGTAGGAATCCTTTTTGTTATTATTCTGTGCTGCTGGTAATTTCAGGGTGGAAATCATTTCAGAAATTATTAAAGGAGAAGTGACTAGCTTATAGTACCATCCTTAATTCAGAAGCACATCCCTCGCAGTGCTGTTACAGTAAGTGTTCAATACACATGGACGAGAATAATTACACTTTTTTATCTTAATTACCACACATTTGCATACACTAATTGTGGCTATTGTCTGTCTAACTGAGCAGCCATTATCACAGGAGTCTGGGTTAACATATTGTGAAGATTACTTAAATGCCTGGAGCCAAAATACAGTAGGTGCAGGTTCTGTTTTGTCTCAGGATCCGAGATGTGAAGTCTGATACTCACAACGTGTAAATTAGTGACAAATATTCAGACGTCTCGGACTGAGAGAAAAAACACCAAGAGCCAATAAATGCTTGTGTGCTGTTGTTCAGACTCTGTCTCACTGACTCTTCCTCTTCTTAATAAAGTTATTATAGGAGCAATTATGAACCCTGATGTTTAGTTTAGTTCATTTGTATCTGTTTACATTATCATATTGACAAATTATGGGGATTCTATCCAAGCAGATCCAGCAGAGATGGGTTTGTGTGAAGGCTGTAAATAGTGAGCCTGAAGTTTGGCTTTTATTCCCCGGGGGGGGGGGGGGGGGGTGGCAAAGGAAACAAGCTACAAATGGCTTTGGCCATGTAGCGGCATGCTGTGAACGTTAAGAGAATAAATTTGGTATCAGTTCGAATAACAGCTCGCCAGATAAGCTTCGTTATTCATTTACGATTGTCACGGCTGTTTAGATTTCATGACCTGAAGCAGGAAACGAGACCAGGATAATGACTTGATTACTCCTGTTAGCTTAGATTTAACAAATGTGTGTCTTAATGGAAGGATATTAGAAAATTCACACTTGTTCGGGCTGCATTGACTCTACTCTAAGCCTCTTTCAGTCTCTTATTTCCTCTCTCAAGACATTTGTCCGGGTTCATTTCTCTGAGTTTTTATCTATCTTTGTGTTTTTCTCTGGTATTTCTCTTTGTCTGGTATGTGGGGCTGTAATTGCACAAATCAGAACCACATTACCAAAACATCTTGGTTTCTCACAAGAGCTGAAACGCGAGCGTTGCTTCGAGTTCTGCAGCGTTGCCAAAAAGAAGACTTTCCTATAACACAGGCCCACTACTGTCCATATCGATGAAATAAACTCGAACAGGCTAAAGAAATCAAAGAATGACGCATACTTGGAAGAACTATCGGGGAACTCCAGAGCTGGTTGATTAAACTAAAACACAGCAGAACGAAAACGGACCTGTTAGAATATTATTCACGGGAAAATAAAAGCTGTTTATATGCACTGGTGATGATAATTAGTCATAAATGTTGCTTCCACGGAATAGATCGAGTTTGTGTATTTGGCCCGATTGCCAGAGAGTTTCCCAAAACTGTTCGAAAACAAGCATTTAAAAAGAAATCCTTTGTTTTTATCCCGAGCATCTTGTCCCCCTGCACTCGGAGCCCTCTTCCCTGTGAGAACCCTTGGCTGATGGTAATTACATTTAATGAGATCATGGGGTCGTCTGTGTGGTGCACTTCTGCAAATTGCTCACAGCGTGGGGTCCGGAGGAGGATGGGGTTGACGGTGGAGGTGGGGGGCCGGGAGTGTTTGCCCACTTTTTTTGGGGGGGGGGCCGGGGACGTTGAGTGGCAGTAGCTGTCAGTCAGCGAGCAGTGAAACGTGTCATGCGTTTGTCCGCCATTGTCCCCCCTCGTTTGTTTGTCTGGCAGAGATAACCACACAGAGGTGCTGTTTTTCTTGGCTCCATTGTGCCAAGCTGTTGTCAGTCCATCCATCCTCCCTGCCCCCCCCCTCATTCCTTTCCCCTATGACTGGTCACTTTGCCACTATTTTCCTGGCTGCAGGGGGTCACTCTGGCAATTTAGTTAATCCATTAACAACTAATTGTCTCCTCCTACCCTGTTGCTTGGACAAACAACCCTGGTGGGGGTAGTCAAGCTCAGCTGACCTATAAAAGTCAGTCATGAAGAGGAGCCAGTAAGTGTCACTGCGTGGATCTACCAGACTTTCAACACCCCGACTGACTCACTGAAGCATTTTCCCCCTCTTTTTTAAAATTTTACTCCTCACAGTTGATTTTATTCCGCTCGCTCAACATGTCGGGAAAGCTGAATCTGAATCTGCTCTGCTTGTTTCTTTGCTTTTCCTGGACGGAGGCCCGCATTTGGGCCTGGATGCTCAACATGCCCCACAGCCCTCCGAAAGAAGCGGCCAAAGCACTCCGGGAGATTCCCCCCGTGGCCAAAGCACTGACGGTAAGCGGCTATTCCTTTTGCATGCAGGTTAGGCTTGAGAATCACCTAAAACTGAGGGCAGGGCAAGATTGTTTTTCCTGAATTACAGATCGTTTTGGCTGAACGATGACAGTTAAATATGCAAGTCGGCCAACCTCTGCTTCCTCTTTTGTCCGCAGGCTGAGTGTGACCACGACAGAGCTTGTGGACGGGGTTTCTCGTGCGACCGCCACTTTGGTGTTTGCGTTCCTCTGCGCGCGGAGGGCCACTACTGTCGGAGGGACGCGCAGTGCGTCCGCGGCCTCAGCTGCATGTTCGGGAAGTGCCACCGCAGCATCCCCAACGGCCAAGAGGGTGAGAATCTCCTTTCAGCTGGACTTGACCGGACTTCGTGTAGAAACGTAGAATTTCGTGGTTACGAGCTGAAACGCTGGTTTTCCTTCAGGGGCCAGGTGTAAGGTGGACAGGGACTGCGGGGCCTCCATGTGCTGCGCCCGGCACCACGGCGAGCAGGTGTGCAAGAGGCGGCTGGTTCAAGGCGAGAGCTGCTACGTGCCCGACGGCGGCCTGGCCTTCAGCATCAACCAGATTTGCCCCTGCGAGGAGGGCCTGCTGTGTCGGGAAAGCAGCGGTCCCCGCCGGAGAGAGTGAGTACTGCACTCCAATTCCAGATTGAAAAAAGGAGATAGTGAGATAGTTCACAGTAGAGGGAGTGCAGAGTTGGGAGTTTTGGAGTTAAAGCCCTGTTGCTACTTTCAGACAATAAGCTCCTCAAGGGTTTAGTTTACTGGAAATATTCTGTATTGGTTGCCTGTTCAATTGATAGAGTAGACTCAAAGCATATAAACGCAGCATGCATGGAGAGACAGCTCCAAAAAACAAAGAGCTGGTAATTAATTTTCAGCAGAACACATTAACTGTTTAAGTTAATATCTTATTAACTGTTATTTAAAAGTAAAAAACCCTCTTGAATCAAAATAACTGTTTTAAAGTGTTTCAAAATGGCTGACATGCTTTTCAGTTAAATATAGTCTCGGTAACTGTATTTTTCTTTGTTTCAGGAGGGACTTTATTTACCAGCCAGAACGAAAAAGTTGGACCTGCCAAGTGCCCAAAGTTTGATACCTGGGGAGGTTAAAAATATTTATTGTGTAAAATGGACGGATATAAAGAAAAACTGTATGTATGTATATATATTCAAATGTGCCGTCTCCCCATGTGTGAGTTCTAATAGATTTTCCTCTTAGATTTTGTATATTTTGCCAAAGCACTATTGTATATAGCTGAGTTCAAAGATCATTCTCATATATTTAGTTATATTTGTACAAATAAATGTATCTGCCATGTAAAGTGAAGAATAAAAAAAGTTTTTGAACCAATGAAAACCCTCTAATCTGTTTGATGTTTGGAAATTTGCCAAATTTGCTAAAAATCTATAAAGAAATCAATGATTCTGTTTTATGTTGACATTTACTTTTAAATTATAAAGCAACACAGAGAAAAAGAAGTATGTGCATATATCTGAATCAAGGACTTCAAAAGTGAACAAAACATCGGTGTGCCCGTCACAAACTCTCTTGGCCTCTAATCAAATTACAGCTAACTCATTTTTGGCAGACATATGGCATCTTTTAGGTCATTTCATAAGAGACAAATTCCTTCACAGCACTGGAATTTCCTCCTGACTCTGGAGACTGGAGAGGTGATGATGTAGCAGGTCTCCCAGACCGTGGAGCAAGCATCATCTGGTCGTGCTGTGATCCTGTCTCGCTCAGATGAATTATGTGGGGACTGTGTGATTGGAGACAAGGGAGGAGAATGCTGAGAACTTCCATGAGCTGGTGGCATCGTGTTGATAGAAGAAATAACTCTCGGGTGAAAAGGCACTTCTGGTCTCATTTTAGACTCAATTAAGCAAAGCTCATGTTGTAATGTACAAAGGACAAAAAAGAACATGAACATTTTAATTCAGAGGTTTTGTATCATATCTATTTTAAGACATTACAAGTTCATGCTGTAACTTAGTTAGCTGGGGCCTGTTTCGTCTACACAAAGGAACCGTAACCTCTCACATTTAGAGTTTCATGCAGGACCAGCTGGATGTCGGACCCCTTTTAAACCTCCAACTGGACTGCACAGACCCATGAACACACACTCTGTCTCCTTCTCAGCACGTTTGCTGGATCCCAGGCAGCAGTTACGTAACTCAGAAGAATCTCGCAGCGCCCGATTGTCAGCATGAGCAGATGCTGTAACGCTAGCTGTCCCCTGACCCCGTCTGAGATCTGTATCTTCCTCGAATCCCCTGTCGCTCCATTTTGATGCTAATAGACGGCAGTTTGCCCCTTTGGTTGCGGGATGGCTCGAATCGTTCCGTGAGACAGTGTCTGACCTCTTTGCTCTCATTTTACAGAGCTTATCATCAGATCTTTGCAAGGAGGCATTTGATGCTGTGAGAGGAACTGAATGCTTAGAGCATTAAAGACTTAAATATCTGACTTTGCTGATTTGATTGTGTTGGGATGTGCCTTTGTGCTATTTCTAAACAGCTGTAGCCTGGAAAAGATAAATATTACAAACCATGAATTGTATTGACATAAGAATCAACTCTTGGATTTGATTTAGAACTATGAAGTGTTGTAAGCCCACGTTTTACAGGCATAAGAAAAGACATATGAGAAAAAAGTGAGATCCAATAGCTCAAGATTGGGAGACATCCGATATCACTGAGTGCTCGAAAACCAAGGGCTATTACCTGTTTTAGAACACTAGCAACTGTGTATAGCTGTTCTTATCGGGGGAACCATCTCATTTTAAGGTATCCCTCTATCTGTTTGCTCCATTTAGCTTCTGAAGTGGTTTTCTGTTGCTTCATGTTCCCTCCTTTTTCACAAATAGAAATAAGTCTGTATGGAGAAAAGTTGCCAAAATATATCTTTGTACCTGAAATGTCTTAAACATCTGCCCGTGATGGTTACATAAGCTTTTGCAATTTGATGTTTCTTGTGAACCCAATATTTTGGCTGAAGTTTATAATTCCAGCTAAAAGATATACAAATTGAGTTCTTTCATTATCAAAAATATAGTAGACTAATAAACTGACAAATTTCAGGACTCACAACATTTTTTTTTTCATTATCAAAAATATAGTAGAATAATAAACTGACAAATTTCAGGACTGATTAAATTACTGATGCCAAATTTCCTCTGAATAACAGCACAGTTACTACAGTTCACTTTTAAGATTGATGTTGAGTAATGGTTTAATATGGATGTTCAATTTATGTTTCTATATCTATATATTCGGAGTCTATATATAAATGAGATTTAGTCACTTTTAAGTATATTTCCTTTTCACTCCATCTGGGAATTAAATCTGAATAATACATATGAATGAAACAAAAATTATATTTGAAATCAACTGTAATGCCCTTTAACCACATGGTGGATAAACTAACAAATTATACATGCACATAAAGTCTTAAAAATAGTTCCTTGTTCATAATGTCACATCAGGTTAGCTTAGCTATATTTTAGGTCCAGTTTAATTAGCTTTAGCCTAGGTTTTTTTTTTTTTTACAGAAAATACTTGAAATTTGAGGCTTTTAAATACTTTAAAATAAAATATAAATGAATTATTTGTATTTATTTATTTTCTTTTTTCTGGTCTTTTGAAAAGGCGATGGTAGCATCTTAACTGTCACTCTATGAGAAAGTATTCATTTAAAAGTCAATGTCTGAGCAGCACAGTGAGCTTTTGTGAGTGGAGACACAAAAGAGCTCTTAAACCAAGGCCGTCAAGGGGAAAAGTGGACACGGGAGAAAGGGGCAAAGCCATTTACCTTTAGCTGAGATGGTATAAAATCCCATCTGGAGTTGACTAAGTCGAGCCGTTAAGTCAGACGCAGGTTACCTGCTGAGGAGTTATGACGATCCTCTGACAAGCAGCGAGTCAAAGGTGTTCACCCGGTTAGAGGTGAGGCTCATTTCTTGAAAACAGAGCTAATTATCTGTTACATTTTCTCTCTTTTCTGATTCTTATATTTCTCCACAGCGTTACAGGATGGCTTCGTTCAGTGCTCTGTTATTGATGGTGCCTGTTGCGTTGACCTGCACGCCTCAAAAAGCAGGTAAGGCCAGGATGGATCCTCATAAATGATCAGTTTGGTTAATTAGAATCCAGTTTTCAAATGTTTTAATTTTCAATGCCAAATTATTCAAACAAATTCCCTTCACAATAGTTCAGAAAAGGAAATTGTACTAATAGAAAATGCTTCAAGGACAGTTAAGATATATAAATTCCCTTCTTTACAAACATCACAGTGTCAAAATCGAATATAATTACATGGATAATTGAGACCCATTGAGACCCATGTTTCAGTAGAATGTATAATATATGAAAAAGCCCTAATCCTTTTAAGAAAAAAGCAACATTTCTGAAGTTTTAAACTTATATTTGTAATTTATTTCAGACTACGTTGTGGTGTCGTGTTTCCCAAACACAATCATTGCACACGTACCGGAGTGTCCCTACGGCTGGGAGATAGACCAGCTGTCCTTGGGTGGAATCTGTTACACTGGAACACACAGTCCAGGTTACTACCGCTTCATCATCCCTGACCTCACCCCCAAAAACCACTCATACTGTGGAACGCAGTCTGAGGTGAGTCACAGAATGCAAGAAAAAAAGACACGCAGAAGCAGTCTGTTTGTTACGGTTAATCTTAGGCAAAGATTCCTTATTCCTTATAAGATTCCTTATTTTATTAAACAATAAGTCAGAGAATCAAATGTATAAAATAGCAAATATTATACCTACTTAGGAAACCACAAATGAATATAATAAATACTTTTCATAACTATATTCCCTCTCTGTTCCTTTGATAAAGATCGAGAAAAGTTTCCAGATCAGAAAATTGGCAACATTTGAAATCCCAAATGTGGAAATAAGTATGCAGTGTTGACATCTTAAAAGTGGGAATAAGATTTGCTGTTCTTGACAACGTAAACTTGACAACAATTTTTACAAAATGCCACTTATTTAGACCCTTTATTAGTTTAATTGTAACTCATTACCTGGTCTATTTCTCTGCCTATATGTCTAACCATCATTCCTTTCTACTCTTTCTGTTTAAGCTGTTGATGCACACTCTTCTTGACTTTGCTTTTTTCCTCAGTACATGCCTGGCAAAGACCCAAAGTACGTCTTCCACAACTCCATCGTTTCCAACGACACCTTGCTGACAGTCAGAAACCAGCCGGTCAACTACACCTTCAGCTGCATGTACCGGGCGGCCTACCTGGTCAACAACGCCGTGTTCAGCCAGAGGTAAGCACCCGCTCGGCCGTCCAGGCGCCCGCGGCTACCGTTTGAGTTGCCTCGTGCATTCTGACCCAATTGGCTTGCAGCGTTTTTACTAAACCCTCTGCTTTTTCCAGAGTGGCTACAGTTTATGTCAACAATGGGAGTTTAGGCACTTTTAGGTCACAGTTGTCTATGAACGTGTTCACGGTGAGTGTGCTGTCCACAGACCCCCGTCGCCCAGTGGACCCAGCTCTTTTCATTTGGCGCTTGACCACAACTTACATCAGTCAGTGGCTCCAATTGGTTGACTGATGCAAAGTAAGAAAACGCTTATTTCTCGCAGAATTCAAAGTTCCTGTACGTTAAGGACGCTCCCTATGTGATCGACACCTCTGAGATTGGCTCTGAAGTCTTTATCGGCATTGAGGCAAAAGGTCTCAGTAACAGGTACATTCACCACAAATCTACGAATATCAATGAATCTTTTAGGGTGTTCATTATAGATCATGACCTGACCGTTTGCTCCTCAGGTTTAAAGTTGTGATAAACAACTGCTGGGCCACACCAACTCCTTATTCAACAGATAGGAAGAGGTGGAGTCTTATCATCAACAGGTATGAGGAAAAATTCAACGAAAAACAGCCATCGCTTGCGACTTTGCCGTTCAAACGGTGCCCAAACTGTTATTGTTTTCCCACAGCTGCTCTGCTGACAACACTGTGACCATCTTCGAGAACGCCAAAGACAGCCGCTCCACGTTCAAATTCAACTCTTTCCGCTTCCAAAGGCTGGAGAAGGTGTCCACTGTGTGGCTCCACTGTGAGGTCCAGGTCTGTGATGGAGAGAGGCTTGTGTGCCAGCCAGTGAGTATAACATTCTGTGATCACCATTTGTCATTTCCGTTTTGCTCCATCAGCACAGAAATTTTTACTTTTACATTGTATCATCAAATTTTGTATCATTAATCTTGAATTATTAAATCCAAACCCTTTCTTTCCTGCTTTTTGGGGTCTAAATGTTTGGAACTCTGCATCAATTTAAATATGGAAATCATGTGTCTGCAATATAAATGGATGTTACCTATTTATTAACCTTGCCATGTTTGGAAAATTCAGGCTTCTTATTTTTGAGAGAAGAAACTGTCCGTCATGCAATCACATATAACATTCTTCAGTTTTTTGTGGACTTATACAAATAAAAGTCATAATAAAAGGTTTTATTGCTTGTCCAAAAGAGCCCATGCACTGCAAGACGTTTGGCAGAGGAGGTCGATCCCATTGGGGGGGTCCTTACTGCTGAATTTCAGGTTAAAGGTAGATTTCCGCATATTTTTTATCCTCTTTTTTATAAAGAAATAATAAGAGTAATGCCTGATTTCCTCATTTGATGTGCGCTTCCTTGATCCCCTAACAGGTGCAGGATCCTCCAATAAAGGACACATAGCAGGTAAATAGACGTGCTGCTACAGGAAATGGTAAATAAACTCAGACGTAATTAACTGTAGCCCGGCTTTCGGATATCTTTGGGTCACAACCTACTCCTGGTTTGAATTTTTTTTATATATTTTATTATGTATTAATAGAATTGAATATTTTACATAGCAAAGCACCAGCTCTGTGGATTTCATTGTTGCCCTATAATAGCTGTAATACTGTCCTGTCTTTTTCTTCTCAGGAAGTTCGCTTTTCATCCTTATTCTCGTCCTGATGAACATTTGGTGCCATTCAACAAATGTATCAGAAATGTTGTAAAAAGTATCGTCATTACATGAACAGTGTGAAGACGGGGGGGAACGTCACAGAGGACTCAGGGAGCATGTGAAGAAAATCCTCCCCCCTGACTAAAAATGACAGATTTTCTCATAATTTTTTAATCTAGTACATTTTTTGTTCTTAAGAAAATGCAATGTTTTCCCTCCAGTCTTTCTTCAATAAAGTTGAACTGAAAATGTCTGAGGAAAAAGATTTTATTTTAAAGTTTAATCTTGAGATTTTCACAATTAGTATTAATCTTTTCCAGGATAAGAATAGTACCTCTATTTAATATGAAGAATCAACAGTGGAGTAACAAAATGAGCCGAAATCAGTTGGCAAAACTTTACATTTTCTTCCTTTTTAAAGGCGAGTTGCCTTCACGTGTTTTCTGTTCCATGAAGAAATCATGACGTCAAATCAAAGCATACAAAACTCTCTAAAAATCAGCTTGAATCAAATGTCCGTATTTCATTCGTGTTGTCCCGTTTGTCCAAGCAGAGCAGAGGTTTCCCCTCCAAATCTCTGTTTTCTCCCTGTGAGGTCAGTCACTTTCCGTCCACACAGACAGAATAACTTTTGCGTCACATTCTGTGAGAGGCGACACATTGTAACTTTCAGATATTCCTCTGGATTTATGCAGCTCTTTCTTTCTATCAAATATTGACTGCGGTCATTGTGGAAATGGGCTGGACTTTATGGCCCTTTGTGTCTGCGGCTCTGTTCACTTCTGGTTTCTGTAGCAGAGATATAGGAAAAGTGCATAGAGATTAGCATTAAGCTAATTCACTATGTGAAATGGAAACAAATGAAAAATAATAAACACAACACTGAAATACGCACTATGAAACAAGGAAAATGTGGTGACATACATAGTGCCAGCAACTAGTTTGATAAAGATTGAGAAGTTGTAAAAGTATTTTTAAGCACATTTACGTAATGCGCCCCCCCCCCCCCCTTTTTTTGGTAATCAGCTCCTTTTATCAAACACTGACTGATGGGAGTGTCTTTTCACTGGCTGTACCTCTGTTTGTAGTTTGTTACTGCTAGCTTGTGGAGACTCGTGGGCAACAGGAGGAGGATTAAATCCAATTTTGTCCAACAACCAGTAGGTCTTCTGGAAACCTTTGCCCTGTCGGGGGGAAACAGCCTTGTAACGATATGTGAAAACAAAGGCTGTACATGTGGTGAATAAACAGAAAAACCTGTCACTGACTCACCTTCATTTCGATTTCCCCTCTTTCTTCCAGCTCATATGATCCAGCCTGGACAAGAATGTCAGCCGTGGACTGAGATATGTGAATCCTCAGAGCTGCCCACCACAAACAAGCTGACTTTTATCCATTTTTAAAACTTTTAGGGTTCTTTAAAGCTGTCGTCTCAATCAGGACCAGTTCTCAAATTAAAAAGTTTTTACATCAACAAAAGCTACTTCCTGCCACAGGGTATGGAATATAAAACAAAACTATACACTTCCTTTACGATGGTAATCGTAAAGGTGGTAATCTTCCTGTACGATGTTGTGTTATTTGGTATGTTTGGATAATGCCATATTCAAAAAGACCTTGATATCTTCCCATCTGGCCACGTCCTCCAGCTTTTCCAGGGGGACGCCAGGGCATTCCCAAGCCAGCTGAGACACATGATCTCCCCAGCATGTCCTGGGTGTGCCACATGGCATCCCCCCGGTCAGATATGTCTGGAATACATCAACTCACAGGTTGTCTTAGCTTGATATTTCAATGCAGGGGACAACGACTTCATTACATCACCAGCTCCATCTTTTGGACCACCTTACCAGGACAGACAGCTAAAGCATCGGCATCCATAATCACCCTTTAACCAAGTTGGATAATGAAGAAATAACCTCAGCAAAAGAGTTCACTCACGTAAGCTATTGCTTTCCATGCGAGAGGCCGTGTTCACCGTGTCACCGAAGAGGCAATAGCGAGGCATAGTGGTGCCCACCACTCCAGCAACCACCGGACCTACAAGAAACAACTCCAGTCTGGCAAGAAACCCTTTACATTCTTTAAAAAGTCAATAGAACCATCACCAGAATCCTTGAGTGCATCTTGTCATAAACATGATATGCACGTTTCTGATTCCTGCTAATCATGTCATTTTCTAAATAAAATATCGTGCCAAAACATGTGCAAAACAGACTCTGGTGCTATCCTTGAAAAAAAGGCTTCCAATGAAAAGCTGGATTTGTATCCGTGGGTGTTGTCTCTTACCAGAATGTATACCAACGCGAATTGAAAGGATCTTATTAGGCATGTGAGGGATTTCGAAGACTTGAATGGCTCTGAGGAAATGTAGAGCCATCATGGATATCTCCAAAGCGTGCTTGTTGCCATTGCTAATAGGCAAGCCGCTGGCTACCATGTAGGCATCCCCAATGGTTTCCACCTAATGAGCACACAACAAAGTTTTCTTTAAGTAATATAAGATAAGAAATATATCAATTAACATCATTTGTGTTTTGCCAAAGGTTTGACTGCAGAAGACTAGTTAGCTTAGGTTAGCCACCAGTTAGCTTAGGTTAGCCTAAAGACAAGGAATTAGGTTCTCGAATTGAATGTCCCAATTTGTAAACTTAGATGGTGGGTGGATGTTTTGACAATGTTTCAGTCTTAATTCCTAACGCTAAGCTAAGATAAACATTTCTGCACAAACATGGAGGAATAACATATCAACAACACATCTATTAATCTAGCATTAAACCCATGACAGACGCTTCTTACTTTGTAGACATCATACATCTTTATGATGTCGTCAAACAGACTGTAGAGGTCATTGAGGAAGTTTACCACCTCCAGTGCAGAGCTGACGGAGCACATGGAGGTGAAGCCCACAATGTCTGAGAAGAAGATGGTCACCATGTCGTAACTCTGTGGCTCCACACACTTCCCTGACATCAGCTGGTCTGCAATGTACCTACAGCCGACAAAACAAGGTAATGCTGATGTGTGTCGTCAGTTTGAAGAACATACGTCATTTATATTGACGACGTTGGCACCTCGGCAGCATGCTGGAGAGAAGCTTGTCTGCCCGGGCTTTCTCCACCGTGAGCTGGTTGGTTCGCTCTTCCACCACCTCCTCCAGGTGATTCGCATACTTCTCTAACTTGTCCACCATGTTATCCAGGATATTTGAATGACTACGTTACAGAGAGTTAGAATTATCAGATAATTTCTCCATGATAAGGAGGCGTAATTTGCGAAAATCCATTTAGATGTTTGATGAAAGTCTTTAAAACTGGGACATGGTTTAGATGATCAACTTTTTAAAGAAGCACAGGAGTGAGTCTTGCACTGACAGACCTCTCTGGACTGATGTCCCTCAGCCGTCTCCGAATAGATCCAAATGGTGGCCGGTGTTCAGGATTTTCACTCCAGCAGGCCTTTAGCAGCGCGTTAACCTTCTCGTCACACAGTTGATCGGACAGCACTGGCCGGACAGGTTCTCCCCGTAAAGGCGTCCTCAACTGCATTATAATCTCTGGAGGCGACAAAATGGTCAACAATCTGGGGATTTTCTACTAATGATTTGAATGATTTGATGAACATTTGATTCCAAAATGGAGTTTTCCATTTGTCAGTTCTCCCTTCAACATCCCCAAAATGTTCAATCTAAACATATGTATGTTTTAAAAAATAGCAAACTCATATATTTTATTAAGAATGTCCAATTTAGCATGAAAACTCTCAGTGTTATCAAAAGCAAATGCTGTATTTTATCTAATACATAAACTTGATTTAATTCACTTAAAGGGAAATGTCTTTAGATTTAAGTCCATAATTAAGAAAAAAAGCTTTTCTCTCTCTCTTTGAATAGTAATGGTGTGGGTAAAGTATCTTTTAAGACTGAAAAGTGAAAAGAAATCAAACATCTTATTTGTAGCCAACCAGCTGGTACAAAACTTGACCATTCAGCAGCTTTAGAAATAGATAAAGAAACATGAAAAAGCCCAACCTTTGGGATCCAAGTTGATGTCTTGATATGGTCCTGCTTTGGAGTTATACATGAGCTCCCACATAATGATGCCAAAGCTGTAGACGTCACCTTTAGCCGTTCCTTTAACTGGAAGGCCGACCTGTCTCAGAAGTTCGGGGGCTGTCCAGTACATCTCTGTAACATGTTTAAACGACCTCATTACGAGAAAGGCTGACGTTTGATCAGCGCTTAACACCCTGATTTCACTCCCCTCACCTTCATATATGGGGTTATCCGGTGGGCTGATCTTGTTTCTGTTGCCATATTTAACCTCCCACAACCCAAAGCCAGAGAGTTTGATCTGGAGCCGACTATCCATCAGACACTTACTGGGCTTCAGGTTCCCGTGAAATTTAAGTCTGCTCTTGTGAATGAATTCCATTCCCTTTGTCAAGAATGGAGAAATTCAAATAAAAAAAGGTTAGTTAGTTGAAAGGTTAGTTTTTTTGTTTGACACATGGCAGAGAGGATATTGATCATTTATTTCAAATTTTCCTCATCAGTTGTGGTTTTTCTGCCATAAATTTGACTTTTCCACAAAAAGGCAAGACAAGAAGGTCGCAATATAGACTTATAAACAATATAGACTTTTTTATATTTCAAGATATGTAACCAAATGATTAACTTAATGAGACAAATGCACTGTTATGCTGACTTTAAAATAAATCTATTCTCTCAAAATCCCCTCAGGATTGAGAAGTTATGTGTTCGTATATCTCTGCAACCTTGCTCTTTCTAGAATTTTAGACAATTTCATTGGAAACTATGGCTACTGTACACACTTACATTGACAATGTCATATGCAAACGACAGCTTGAACATCCCATCCAAATCGATGTCTGATGCCCGAAGAACATCCTGCAGAAAAACAACGAGTTTGAACTCATTTAAGTCACATATATGGTTATGAACGGCTGTGATGTAGATTTGTTAATGAAAATTTTCTCATTCACCTTCAGACTGCCTTTCTTGCAGTACTGAATGACCAAACAGATGTTTGGAGCCTCGATGCAGACACCGAAAAACTGCGCCAGGTTCTCATGTTTCATCTCTTTCATCTTTCTTAAAAGATTTTAAGATTGTTAGACACACAGTGTGTGTTAAAGTGGAAAAAGAAACTAAATCTGCTGTTTCAGATGTAGGTTTCTGTCATTAATGTGGGTATTAATTCCACAGGATATGAAAAGATTACAATAATTTCTAAACTGATGTGATATCTCCTCCAAATTTTGAGGGAGGATTATATTTCAAAGTGACATTATTCAGACAAAGTATGCAAAATCAATCATTTACCACATTGAACTCTGCAATGACTGAAGGTTTGTGGAAATTAAAGTTTTCGTGGTCTTTAAGGTTCTTGATGGCCACTTGATTTCCCTGTGAGTAAAAAAGAAAAGAGGCAGGATGTTATTCATTCCCCTCTTTATAAAGGTGAGGCGGGGTGGGTTTTTTTCAGAGACTGAGCTGTGACTTTGTTGCTCTTTCATCTAAACTCTGTTTATAATAAAGGCTTATTATTTAAGATATTGCTCTGGTTGATTTCCTTACAATAAGTCTCAACAAGTCTTGTTGTAATCATTGAGAATCACATGAGAATCATATGCAGCCAAAGCCTTGTTATCACTTGCGTTTGGCGTCCTATAAAGCATTTGATGGTATATTTTCGCCTGTGGATACCTGAGCGTAAATCCAGCCCAAAGCACAGTATTGACCGGTTTAGCAAAAATTGAACATAGTCAAACCTTAATATAAGAAACAGAAGCAGTATGTACATCGTTCCCCCCTGATTTCAACCTATGTGAGGAGAGTGTTTACCTGATAGAGACCTATGGTGGTGTAGACGTGCTCTTTGCCCATCTTGTCCCTCAGGTCGTAACTGCTGCTGGAAAAAGTGGTCTGACAGCTGCCGCTCCCACTCTGACTACCTGCAGAGCCTTGGGATAAACCCTGGTTTCCCTTGAGGAGGCATAAAACACAAAAGTAGGCCAGCGAACTCACAACGCAGAGGACACATACATCACAGTGACACCCTCCCACTCCCGGAGCCCCAAGGTCTGGGGCGCCCGTACTGAGGGCTCCCTGATGATGACGATGTCGCTGTAGTTGATCATCCACCAGCAGGAGTCCCCCAGCCGGTCCTGGAGTCTGAACTTCTGCAGCATGAGCACCCCGATGCACAGAACCGCCACCACGCCGATGATGGGGAAGGTCACCAGCACGGCCAGCAGAGCGATGTCTGTGCAGAGTGGAAAAGGCCGTGGGTTTACTCCCTGAACGTGGCTTTGCTAAAGCTCAGCTGGTCTGCCCTTACCGTTGGTCACCCATTCGCAGACTTCATTGTTGAAACCACACTCCGGCAAGTCCGTGGGGGGTCGTCCCTTCGGCCAAACCATGGAGGCAAACTTCGACGTTGGCCTGAAATTACAGATTTTCACACCAGTGTTTGCTATTCTTAGAAAGAAAGGTTTTAGATTATTATTCTGCCAAAGACTCCTTGTTACCTGACACTTTTGGTTTGACTCTCGAAATGCAGGACGGGCACAAACTTGACGGTGTCTCCTACATGCTGCAGGTCATAAATGGAATAGTCCAGACTTCTCTCTCCCTCCTCGTCGAAGTGAACCAGCCCAGAGGCGCCTGAAAATCATGAAACACTTTTAATGAAAAGACCAAAGATATCATTTTTTTTACTGCTCACTCTTTTCCTCTTTGCCCAGTACTTTGGGGTGGTGTGACGGTAAATAGAAAATGTACGACTGGTCATGGAGTTCTGCGAGCCTGACCAGTTCACACTCGCAAACTTTCTTTAAATCTTCATGACACGGAGTTTGTTAGATCTCTGCTCGCAATGCACTGTACAAGTCTGATATCAGAGCACATAGCTACCATAAAATCGAATGTCGGTTTTGTTTTTCAGTCTCTGTAGAAGCTGCCGGCCATCATTTGGATCTTGACCATCTTTCAAAACTTCCTTCAGCCCCATCGCATACAGAAGAACCGAATCGTGCAGATAGGCCGAGTAGGGGCTAACCTGAAACGGACCAGGTGAGAAACAATTTCAAGGGGGTTCTGTTTTTACAACATCCTCCATCAGTCTTCCTGCCATTAGGGCCTACTCACCTCACTTTCGGATGTGATGTTACTCTGAAAAGGAGGCTGCTTTAGTCTTTGGAACACTTGCTTGGAGAAGTCGTAATACTCGTATCCTTCGTAGGATTTCTGGCCGATGATAAAAGTCATGTCAAACGCTCTGATGGCAGCCGGGTCCATCTTTCTGTTCAGGTCATTTTTCCAAAGGTTTTCCTTTTGAGGAAAAAGATGAATAATGATCACAGGATACAACTTGCTGATGTGACATCATTGTCTATCACACTTTTATTTAATTTCATCCAGTTCAGATTTATTAGAATGAGGCTGTTGGGAAAGCTTGCCGTACAATACGTGACTCACGCTGACCGTTAGCCTAATGAGTCTGCTGGCTACTGTTAATCACAGCATCGTTTTAGCTGACCGACCACTGAGGCTGCTCTAAGAAGCATCTGCACTTTGTGCGCCAGTTGTGACAAAACAATGAAAACAACCTTTTTTAACCGCATAAGGTATCTGAGATTGGGTTGAGTTTAAAGAGTGGAATCGCACTCCAGCCGTAACGTTAGTGGCATTTCCTATCTTTGTTATGAATGAAAATCCTCAAGAAATTCATCCCATACCTTAAATATTCTGCCCTTTACTTTTTAAAAAGCTCCCTTATGTGTTTTCCAACATGATTACTCTTCTCCGAATTGTGCTAGACGCACAGAAGGTTCTTTCAGACATTAGGAACATTTTATATCACAGCTGGAGGAAATACCACTAACTACAGCATTTTATATTAATTTATTCAGAGAAGGCTCTTTTTTTCTCTTATAAGGCACTTGCCCAGCAAATTTGTATTATTATTTTTTCAATAACATGCAACGAATGATCAAGAAAAAGCACCACTGAAGCCTTGATTATTGAAAGAATATAAAATGTCACCAATGTTGAAATGTTAGCCTTTAGATAGTAACATAAGATATAGAATAACAGAAAAACAGTAAAAATGTATGCATATTTTAGTGCATATGCAACTGGGCTGTTCAATAGATCTGTCTGAAATCTATAGCTATGTGCCACTTCAGTTTAAAATGTGGCTAATAAATACATGTTGCACATGAGGCTGTTTATGAACTTTAAAGGTTTCACTCACCACGCCTTTACTGACCTCAAATTGCTGAATCAGGAAGAACACATAGTCACCGTTCATCATACCCTGATGCTCAGCCTCCATCAGCAGAGCCACTGAGTCCTCTTTGTTTGTGAGCACTACAATAACTGGAAGTCATAGGGTTGCATATTTTTGTCAGAATAAAAATATGACCCAACTGGTGTATTAACGGTCTCAGCATCTGTGTAAAATTCTGTTTTCTTTTTTTTTTTTTACCTCTGGCGACTGTTGAAATGTACTTTACGTTTTGGTGAAGCAGCTTGGGGTCGCTGGTGTCAAACTTCACCTCTGCGGTCAGCTTGAATTTGGCCCTCAATGGGTCCTCGAACGTTTTCCACAGAGCATCGACTTTGTCCCAGGTGCTGGTCTCTACTCCGCCTCCGATCATCGCCACGTGGCTCCATCCGAAGAACTCCAAGGTCTTCACCAGGACCTCTGAGCTTCTCTTTAGGGGGGGCACGATTTTGATGTAGGAGTCGTAGACATCGCTGTCGTCCATTTTGGAGGACTGCCCCACGAAGCCAAACATCGGGATGTGCCACGTCGATGCAATAAGGCCAGTCACCTGGACACCATTCATTTAAGATTGTCCTATTAAAGCTCAGCTTTGCATGATTAGGGCTTGATTTTCATTTGTTTCTTTCTTCTTTGGGTTATTTGGGTAATATATAAATGAGCCTTTATATATCTGGATACGCACAGCTTACTAATGGAAAAATATTAACAAATTCTTTCTTTCTATATATCTATCTATCTATCTATCTATCTATCTATCTATCTATCTATCTATCTATCTATCTATCTATCTATCTATCTATCTATCTATCTATCTATCTATCTTTTTTTCTGTACAGGTTATTGTTCCTGCCTTAGCTTTTCCAACACCAAAAACAAAACAAGGACACACCTGCAGAATGACCCACATACAGTTACTTATTCTAAACACGCCTGAAGCTGTCGCCGTGACAATTAGAATCACTTCAGTTTCTACTTCTACTTAAGCATTTCACAACTGTTTCAGCACAATAAACACAATAAACACAATAAACACAATAAACGTTGGTGGGATCATACCTCAGCCTCTCCGGGGCAGGCTGGACCGAACAGAGCCGTCACGTTGTCCCTCCACACCTGGTGGATGAATCTTCCCAGGGACTCTTTGGGATTACAGTTCGTGTCCTCGTACACAAAATCTAGACTGTAGTTCCCCAGGAAGGAGGGGTTGTTGTTCACCTTCTCCACGGCTATCTGGATGGCCGAGCCCAGCCTCTGGGCGCTGAAGGGGAAGGACATGTTCCAGGGAGCCTGAAAGCCAATGAGCAGCTTGTGAGTTGGGGTTCCGCCGCTGCCGTGATTGATGACAGCAGCCAACACGGATGTGAGGTGGAGCACCAACGTGCAACTCATGCCAGGACAATGAGCCACCCTGAGCATCCCTCTCATCCTTTTAGCTGTTTGGAGTGACAGGGCTTAAGTAGTAAACCTCTCCGGTGATGCTGGGCAGTTGGTCGGGGAGGAGAAAATGTAAATCTATGGAGGAAAATGGGAGGTACTGAAAGAACTAGAACCTTACCTTCTGTTCCTTTCAGTGGCGGGAGAATTCACTGACACACATGTGAGGATTTTATCGTCTGGAAATAGATATTTTAGATTTTAGATTTTCAGTCTGTTTCTTATGAACAATTCTATAGTTTGGAATCTGCTTTTTTCCAAATGAAGAAGGAAAAACAAATGTTGAACCAGATTCCCAAACAATTAAATTTCAAAGATGTAGAGGGTAGTTACTATGGAAGCTCAGGAGGGACAATGGGTCTTGTTGGGGTTTGGGATTGGTGAGGAGTTGTTCTAAATTGAATATTTTGGACCTTTTGTCATATCCAATGACTGCTTTGTATGGTTCTTTTTTGTCTTAAGTGATTCTTGAGGAAAACTTTTTTTCCATTTATATAGAAATGATGACAGAAAATGATCGAAGGTCCATTTAAAAACATCTGTGAGACCAGTGGAACTATTTCTAAAACCCATTTAAAGGTGTACTGTGAATGAGTGTTGTGCAGCAGCAGTGGTCAGTGGCCTGCTCCCTGCTCAGGCAGAACATAAATAAGACAACAGCTCACTGAGCAACAGTATGGTCTCAGTTAATTTAGACTAATGGTTTCCATTCCTCAGGCAGGGGTTTCTTTAGCTGATGCGTTTTCTGAGGGTGTGTAAAACAAGCATTCTCAGCAAATGTCCATGTTCGGTGCGGTTGATATCCGGCCACCGTTAAGCTCATACTGCACACTGCATTTTCTCCAAAGCACTGAACAAAAACTTGTACTTCTGGTGTTATTGTAGATAAATCCATTCCTCAAATAAAGTGATGCTCAGTGTGAAGATAAAAAGTAATAATCTACTGTGGTCACCTACATTTTTTTTAAGAGAGCAAACAAAAACAGTGGTATTAAAACTCATCTAGTGTATTCATTTAGTTAGTAAAGCTACAGCGGTATGGTTTTACATTTTCCACATAAATCGATCAGTTGACATAAATCGTACTTAAAGGTTCGTTTTATAATGGCATTTTGAATTTATTTATTCACTTAAGCAGATCAGCAGCTTTAAAATAATGTAATCACAGATCTATTTAATCAACTTTAATAAATAAATCAAGTTCTGGAGGTGATTGAATGCTAATTCTGTCTCAAAATATTGGATTAAGAGATACATTTTCAGCAGAATTCAGTTTTTTGATGAAAACAGAATTGGTGAACAGCTTTTCACAAAATTTGTTTTTCCCCTGAAATTATTTTTATCCTAGGATAATTTAATTTAGCAGTGTCTGATATCATTTGGAAAGATTTTGGCAAGATACCTCTCTGATTAGATTAGATATTCCCAGCTTCTTTTCCAAAGGTGCCGCATCTATATCTTGAGTTATCGCTCCCATCCATAAAACCAGCTTCAAAGTTCATTATTATGTCCTTTACTTTTCAAAACAGAAACAAACGTCACTCCAAAGGGACCAGAAGTGATATTGGACAAGGTTCACAAAAAAAATGGTTAATTTAATTAGAAAAAAATGACCCAAAATGGAAAACAGCAAAGTGAGATCTTTGCTGGCCTCCTGGGCGCACTGTCTGCTGAAACCAGAGGAGGCAGGTTGAGCCTTGACTGCCACACCTGAGTGCAGTTTTAGGTGCTAATAGCAGCAGGTGGGCAGGCTGTACATTAGTGGTGTTGCTGGCTTCAGCTGTTTTTCCTCAGGGGATCTCCTCTCAGCCTGATCCCAAACTGCTCTCGCTAATCCCACCAGGTAACTTCCAAAGCTTCTCCTAATGAACCTCTGCCGTGTCTCGCTGTCCGGCTACACATGCTCCGTCCAGCAAAAACGCTCAGGCGATGGATAGGTGATAATTTCTGATTTTTAGACCTGTGATATCCAGCTGTTAAGCAAGAGCATCTCGTTGGGTTTTTGCCCCTCACCCCAATTTCCTCATTGAGTTTGGAGTCTTTGCATTGTCTGAGTTGATGAAATCAAATGTGCACTTTCACCTTTTCAAACATCCAGTAATGGCTGACTGGACCTCAGGGTTTTCAGCAGAAAAGATCAGCCTAAAATGGGCTGAATTTCAAATGCAAAACTTTTTATGGGAGCAATGGGAAGCCATTTCTGACCCTACGCTGGTTTACCGTGTCCCTTCGACTGATACAAGGACAAAAATCTTTGCATTTTCGCTTCTTATTTAGTTGTGAGTTGAGTTTCTGAAAACATCCTGACTTTTACAGGCCCTGCAGAAAAGAACTCGCTCTTCGTCAGTTGTAGCTTCTTGTGTTTTTTTTTTTTTCCTGACTGCCATAGATAAAGGTGTTAAGTTTATCTTTCTGGGCTGCGCTCCAAAACATTTAGAATGGATGGCCGGTGAGAAATTCTCCAGCGTAAATCACAGACACTTGGACACCGTGGCCCAAACCCGGGGAAGTTCCAGTGCTTGTGCGGTCTTATCTGTGGAAGTGATGCTGGCCAAAGTTCAAAGGTCTTAAATTGGTCAACTGCTTTTATGAGTTCTTGTTTCTCAGAGCAGGGGAAGAGTGCACGAGCAGCTAAGAAGTCCAGCTGGTTGGCGAGCCGGTGAGGTACTTTTCCTTTTATTTGGCACAGGTCAGTCCTTAAACAAACTGTGGTTAGCTTGCACTGTACAACCTGATGGAATCCGATAGCACTGTAGAACTGTTAAAACCTTCCTGTTTGACATTTCTGAGACGTATCATCATTTGTTGGAGTGCTAAGCTGCTAAGGAGTCATCATATCAGCTCCGCATACCAACGATGATTGTGCCAAATGCTTAAATTCAGCCATGCGGGAAAAAATTCTCAGCATTTATGTGTTTTTAAAAACCTTCTCAAATGAAACATGTTTTGTACAAACTCCCAAAACTGTGGATTTAAAGGAAATATCCACTTCAGGCACGTTTATCTAGCACAATTGCTTTCTTCCCCTCATTCTGGTTGCATGTAAACATAGTCTGAAGCTTATGTGGTGCATGTTGCTGAGCTTTCATGGTCGGACTCTATCTTTGAGTGATTAGGAGTAACTGTTGCTCAATCGTGTCGACTTTGAACCGAAGCAATTGTAGCAAAGTGGTGCGAAGGAACGCAGTATACCCCAAGATTCTATAATTTATCTTTTGTGGCTTTGTGCGCTTGTCGTATTCGAGCTGTTTTTTTTTTTTTCTCTGTCCCAGAGCTCGGTTGCACGATGGACTTCATCTTCCAGCTGCTTTTCTCGCCTCTGCCGGCCCAGGCCATCGTCACGCTCTTTGCCATCGGCGCGGCGACCCTGTTCTACCTCAACTCGCGGCCCAGTCCCCTCCGCAGCCCGGCTGACCTCAGCTGTCAGAGCATCGGCATCAAGGTGGGAGCGACTGTGTGCGTTTCAGGGGGCGTAAATTCACCCGTGGCGTCAGTGGGCTGTGAATGAGAACGGTTTGAATGCTGTTGTCCTCAGGATGGGGCCAGAAAAGCTGCTTTGTTGGAAGATAACAACAACCTCACCACTTGCCTCTTTCCTGATGCCCGGACGCTGTACGACGTGTTTCAGAGGGGTCTGAGAATCTCAGGTAATCCCGTCCCAGAGCTTTCTCTCAGGTTTGATTTTGGAGTAAAAGTTTTCTCAGGCGAGCACGTGGGTTTTCTTTTCTGAGTGGGAAATGTTGCCTTCAACAACTTTTAAGTATTTGCATTACACGCTGATGGATTATGCGGCTAAAATTACACATGGAGTGGGTGCATTGCGCCGTAACCTCCTGCTCTTGATCAGAGCATATGAGGCAACACGAGGAGGGATGCTTCTGCTTATGCTCAGAACTTGGCTCGTTTCACCTAATATGAACAGGGAACCTGTTTTAAACTCCCTTCAGCTTGCTCAATATGAAAGTATCTGTGTAATGATTTTCCCCTTTTTTTTTCTTTTTTTTTATTCCCTTACATTGCTTTTAACCAACACATGGTCTTAAAAGTGGGCCCAATTTCTCCTTTCGCAGGGAATGGGCCGTGTTTGGGATACAGGAAACCTGGAAGGCCTTACCAGTGGCTGAAGTACAAGCAGGTGAAATTATGTTGATCATCCAAGGGCGACATGTTGGAGAGGGCCTGGTGTGAGTATCAGTCGGTGTTTACTCCTCTTCCTCTGAAGGTGTCAGAGAGAGCAGAGCGCCTGGGGTCAGGACTCCTCCACAAAGGTCTGAATCCCAGCCCGGACACGTTTGTGGGCATCTTTGCTCAGAACAGACCTGAGGTAAGAGGACCCCAGTCAGCAGAGAAGGGGTTGTTTGTTTTCAAAGTTCAAAATGCATGCCATAACTTTTGTTTCTGGCCGTTTTTTCCGGTTCTCTCTCAGTGGATCATTAGCGAACAGGCATGCTACACCTACTCCATGGTAACGGTTCCCCTGTACGACACGCTGGGTGCTGAGGCTCTGGTGTTCATTATCACCCAAGGTAATTGGAGCTTCTCTCTCGCCCTAATGCTGCTAATGACAAGGCTGAGTCCACGTCCACCAACTCTTTGGTCCCCACTGGGATGTGTGTTGAGTTTGCTGTAATCTCTTATGTGTGCTCCATCAAACTGAAATACATTCTTCTTTATGTCTTGGAAACCCTACTGTTGGCTGAGCTTTAAAATCCTGCTTTATGCTCTGAACCTCACCGCAATGTTTATGATGCAACCAACCTGAAATTATCTTATGAAAGGAACTGCATCATCTTAAGCCCCTTCGAAAGTCACAAATGTACTATTTCCAAATTTTTTTCCAGCTGAGCTCTCCACTGTAATCTGTGACAATCAGAAGAAGGCAGAGGCGCTGCTCCAGAACTGTGAGAAAGGTCAGATTCCTGTTCTTAAACACATCGTCATCATGGACCCTTTCAGCCCTGAGTTGGTGGAGCGTGGAGTAAAGTGTGGGGTGGACATCGTGTCTCTGGAGGACATGGAGGTACTGCAAACCAAACGCAGGTGGACGCAGATAAAGCCGTCCAACTGTTGACCCACGTTTTTGTTTGTGTGCATCCAGGAACTGGGAAAAAATAACCTTCAGAAACCGAACGTGAGTTTCAAATGAAGAATTTCTGCTTTTGAGTTTTCCGCACATCGTTTAAGCACCGATTTTCTCTGATTTTACAGCCACCAAAACCAGAAGACCTGAGTATCATTTGCTTCACCAGCGGCACAACAGGTGACAGAAGTCTTATTAATGAGAATCTCTGTAATATGCAGCATGGCACATCAACACTCAGTTCTGTGCATGTGGTTTGTATACATGGTGTTTTGTTCAAGAGGAGGAAAAACAATTGCCGGTTTAGGAAAGGCAAAAGATACAGCCAGCTTTACTTCAGACCTAAACTTCCCTCTGTATTGTGCAACTTCATGTTTTTTGGGTTGGTAATTATACAAATGTTTTTTTTAATGCAAGTTCTTTATAAAAAAATCTCTAAAGGAAACCCCAAAGGAGCGATGCTGACTCATGAGAATGTGGTCTCCGACACCTCTGGAGTCCTCAAAGCGTTTGAGGTACATGTAGTTTGAATCGTCTTCCCCTCATATTGGGTCGTGTGACTGAGTCAAACCTTTTCCACATCTTTTTTTAACCTTTCTGCCTCAGACTTCATTTGTTCCATCGACGCAGGACATCAGTATTTCATTCTTGCCTCTGGCTCACATGTTTGAGAGGGTTGTCCAGGTCAGTTGCCTGCTCGGTTTGACAGTTCTTTGCCGTATTATTTTTCATGTCAGCCAGTAATGTTTTCATTCGTAGACGGCGGCCTACGGGGCCGGGGCCAGGGTGGGATTCTTCCAGGGAGACATCAGGCTGCTGCCCGACGACATGAAGACCCTGAAGCCCACCATCTTCCCCGTCGTGCCGCGGCTTCTCAATCGCGTCTATGATCGGGTTGGTGACCTTTTTTGTTGGAGCTGCTCTCCTCCTTCCTCTGATTCTGCTTAAAACATAAAGACACTTTCTTTGTCTCCAGGTTCAGTCCGGTGCCAAAACTCCCTTCAGCAAGTGGCTGCTCAACTTTGCCGTGGAGAGGAAATACGCCGAGGTGAAGGAGGGCATCATCAGGAAGAACAGCATCTGGGACAAACTCATCTTCAACAAAGTCCAGGTGCTGCCTCCGTCCGGACAGATGCAGACTTTGTTTTGTCCCTAGTGTGTTCCGAAACTGAAAACGTGCCCCACCTGATTCAGGCGTCCCTGGGGGGTAATGTGAGGCTCATGGTGACCGGGGCGGCGCCCATTTCTCCACCCGTTCTCAACTTCCTTCGGGCTGCTCTGGGCTGCCAGGTAATGCACCTTTAACCTTCTGGGTTTTTTTTTCTATACATAATTCTGTGACTTTGACTTCAATCTCAAAGATTTGATGCAGTCATGAGGTTTGAACAGTCAGGAGATTTATTTAAACCAACACAGTAACACTCACTGAGATTTAAGTGATACTGTTTGGCTCGTTTTGGATTCATGCAAGATAAGGTTTTGTACCCAATCTGGAACCCAATGTTTAATGTAGTTCTGGGACAGTTTTCACAATATGATCGGTTACTTGTTGCATTTAGATAAAAGTTAGTACAAGGGGAGAAAAGGTCTTTGTTCTTTGATCCTTAAGAGTGTTTCCCAACCCCGGTCCTCAAGGACCACTGTCCTGCATGTTTTCCAAGTTCCCCTGCTGCCAGCACAGCTGATTATAAGTAATGGAGAGCTCTTTAAACTTTGCAGAAGCCTGAAGTCCCATTCTTTTCAGGGCAATGTGCCTGGAGGACAAGGGTTGGTTTAACAGTGTCCTCATGTCTGAAAGGCTTCAATGTTTCATGTTTTAAAGTCTCTTAAAAACACAGTTTAATTTCCTTTATTGCGCTAGACTTTACTTTTAAATGCTGTAATTTCATCTGAATGTCAGCGTAAACTTGATTTTTATATAAATGGGCCTGAACTATAAATCCTAACTTGTTCTCCCAGGTCTTTGAAGCCTACGGTCAGACGGAGTGTGCAGCCAGCTGCACCATCACGCTTCCAGGAGACGCCACATCTGGTGGGTAATAAGTTTAGACTGCAGCGGTGGGAATGTTGGTTTTCTTCACGGATAAATAAATCAAAAATCTTTTTAATGAATCCTCCTTTGTCCATGTAGTTGGGTAAATGTTTCCTCTTGCCTCTGCGCCGCAGGTCATGTCGGGGCACCTCTGTCATGCAACGTTGTTAAACTGGTGGACGTTGAAGACATGAACTACTTTGCTTCAAATGGGGAAGGAGAAGTAGGTGGAAGAGAATTTTCAATTATGTTTTTAGGATCTTTTAAATGCACACTTGAGACCCTGTTAAAGTAAAAAAAAATAATCATCTGTTTGTACGTGTTCGTATCGGGGGCCGAGAACCTAATTTTGTTTGTAGATTTAGGTATTTCTTTTAAAAAAACATGTTTTTCTTTCTTTTCTAGGTCTGCATAAAGGGCAAAAATGTCTTCAAGGGCTATCTAAAAGACCCAGAGAAGACTGCAGAGGCCTTGGATAAAGATGGTTGGCTTCATACTGGAGATGTTGGAAAATGGCTTCCAGTAAGAAACAAATACCTTTTTGTAAACCAACCTTAACTACACCATGACATGGAGTAAAGGGCTCTTTGTATGAAATTCGAGGCCCTTGATTCACCATGTATTCTTTTTCTCAGAACAAAACAAAATTCAGCATTTTCTGTAGTTCTGATCGAAGGTGTAATAAAACTTGAACCCATTATTCCAGTGAGACGAGGCTTGCTGCAATTAGCTGTCCAGCTTGTCGCAAAATTCTCTGATTTTAAAACCTTTTATAAAAGGTTTTGTGATGTTTCTTCATTTGAAGTTGTTTGTTTGTGACAGAGTGGAGTTCTGAAGATTATTGACCGGAAGAAGAACATCTTCAAGCTGGCTCAGGGGGAGTACATCGCACCAGAGAAGATTGAGAACGTGTACGTCCGCAGTGAGCTGGTGGCTCAAGTGTTTGTGCATGGAGACAGTCTACAGGTAAGCTTCAGAACAGATCTCTGATATGTGTTTACAGCAGGCTGTGACTTTAACAGTCCACCCTTTCCTCCGTTTTTAGTCCTGCCTGGTTGCTGTCGTGGTCCCTGATGCCGAAGCCTTGACAGACTTTTCCAAAAATCTGGGTTACCGAGGCTCCTTTGAGGAACTCTGCAGAAACTCAGTAATGCCTCTCTGAACTATGTCGGACAGACTTTCTGCTCCTAAGATAACATTTAGACAAATGTCTAAAGTCAAGAATCTGCAGGAATCGTCATGATTTTTCTTTTATTTTTCTCCTAGGATGTTAAGAAGGCCATCATTTCAGACATGACCAAACTAGGAAAAGAAGCCGGCCTCAAGTCCTTTGAGCAGGTAACTGTTTTTCAGAAACGGGTTTTAGCAACTCTGCAGCACTTTATTTTATTCTAAAGAAGTTGATTAACATTACTGTGCTTTTGCCTCAAATGAGGTGTTCTACTAAAGGTCTTAGACCTGCATTTGTGTCAAAGTCTGTAAATACAGTGACTACAGTGATCTAGGAAATTATAATCTATATCCTCCTATTTAAATGATCGTTCAGATTCTCCTCTTCACATTTCCTTTCTGTCTTGGGACTGAACGTCCAAACTGATCGGTTATCTGCTCTTCCTACTTCTCTCTGTAGGTCAGAGATGTGCACGTCCACCCGGAGCTGTTCACTGTAGAGAATGGTCTTTTGACTCCCACCCTCAAAGCCAAAAGGGCTGAGCTGAAAGTCCTCTTCCAACAACAGATAGACAATCTTTACTCAGGCATGCAATAAATGGAATAAAAACATAAGCAACTCATCTACTTTAGTCTTGGCTTTTTATTTTTATATTCTCATAAGTTTCCTTTTTATTTTTTTTATTTTTTCATCTTTAATTCATAATTTTTGCTTTTAATGATCAGAGCACTGTAATAACTTTCTCTTCAATTTTTAGAGTTAAGGGCAGGGATTTTCCCTTTATTTCCATCAAATGTCACAAGTTTACTTTATTTTACAGAAATACATTTAAATGGGTTTTTAATTCCATATATTTGGGTTATTTTTACCAAAGGTTTGACTGATGCATGAGGTCTCAAAACTATTAATCAAATGTGATACATATGGCGTTGAAGGGTTAAATAAAATCCTCTTGTCTTGGTCTGAATATTCAGAAAGTGTTGGCTTTAGTGAAGAGTTCTCTGGCAGAGATTTTCCTTGTTCTGATCTAAGAAATGATCTTCTGTTTGGCTTTAAAGCAACTCCTTGTGACAACAGTGTAACAAGACAGTTCATTGAATTTCTGCACAGAGGTTTTGTCTTTGAGTCAGGGCTGCCCTCTTGTGTTCATATCTAAATGTTACCATTTCAGGCTTTGGTAATGAAGTAAAGGTTTGATTTTCCTCTACCAACACAGGATTGTGATGAAAATTTGTAAGAATATGAATTCTGGTTTCTTAAAGTTATTTTAAAACTATATATTCAGCACGGTAAACTCATTTGGTTTATTTCTGTGTTTTTTCCATCCTGCAGCATGTTTTACTCAAACTCCTGCCGACATACGTCATTTGGATATTTAAAACCTCAGATTTAAGCCGATTTACAACACTCTGATTTACTCCTATTGATGCAGATGTACGATGACACAGATAATGGGAAATCTGGACCCTTTCAGTGATTTGTCTCAATTTGTCCATCCTTTACAACTGATTTCAATATGAGGGATGTTTGTGGAAAAACATAAGACTTTTCAGATCATGATTAGCATGTGCAGCCCATGATTTAATAATACAAAGACACAAATGTGTAAAAACACTGTAAAACGGGCTGAGGAATGGTGTTTTTCTACCCATTTGTCTGTTTAGTTAAATGTCACCTATCATTATACTCCAGCCATTTGTCATTCTTAGGGAAAAGGGTCGACGATTTCTTTGACTTTCAACATATGAAGAACATTTTTCTGCATTTTTTAAGTGTTGCTTTCCATTCTGTGTAGAACTTGGTCCAAAAACGCTCGTGAACCGTCAAAGGAATGAGCAGTATTGGCAGATTCAATTAGAAAAGATGCTGTCATTGTTTTCTGTGAGTGAAGTGGGCAGTGCTGCCCCCTGGTGGCCGCTGGGAGCATAACCTGTGGCCGCTGCTGCCGCCTCGCGCGCTCCTCCGCCGCGCGCTCCTCCGCCTCACCTGGACCTCCCGCCGGCGCACACCGAACCTCCCCCCCCCCAGAAGGCTGGAGTCCCTCTTTTTGGGGTCAGAGAGCGAAGTTTTCAGAAAAGAATCGCCTCCTTTTGTATTCGTTGTTACTCTCAGCGGACCGCGCGGAGCCAAAGTTACCTGCGAGCAGCCGCAGCGCGCCCCGTGCCAGCATGTCTTCCTCCGCCGCAGGTGACCCGGAGCAGGTAAGCGGACTTTTACGCCGTCCGGCCGCCGAAAGCGGCTACTGTCCAGCTCAAGTTCAGCTTTCACCAGCCGTTTAGACGCGCTGTACTTTCGACAGTGAAATACAAACACAAGGGACTGATTCAGTTTCCTCTGGAAGCGCCAAAGTTAAATACAGTCGTCCTATTTTTTCTCCAGAAAGCAATAAGTCATAATAATAATAATAATCATAAATATGCTCAGATGTCACATTATTTCTGCCTTTTTTATTGTTTGGTTTAAGAGCTACTTTGGAGTGCAAATTCTTACTGTTAACTGCTTTATTTCGTGCTGTCGAAACGTCAAATGTTCATTTTCAGGTTTGAGCGAGGCGTGCCTGTTATCACATTTTTTTCCCACCACTTTTTGCACACATCTAAAGAACTGGAAACGCAGCGTAGTTTGCAGAAATAAATGGGATTTGTATTCGACTAATCAAACGTGCAGAAACCCCTCCAGTGTTCACTTTGCACGAGAGCATGAGGCAGATAAACTGTCACGTGCAAAGGTCCTGCACCACATTTAATTTCAGCATGTTTTGGCTCACAAGCTTACAGATTCTCTTAATTATTTAAAGTTGTCCGGAGCGTTGGCCATCCAGGTTTTCTGGATGTTTGGATTTCATTCTCTCACGAGGCACACCAGCATAAAAAAGACACCCAACTCATGGCATGAACTGGATGACCGGGCCATGGACCATCTTGGATGGTGTTTTGAGTTAAACTGTCACTGGCCAAACGACTAAATCAGTGACGCTTTGACCTCTCCAGACTGGCTAAAATTCCCAGAATTGAAACTTTGACTGTGTGGAGGAAAGGCTTTCACACCGGCAGGTGTCTGTGTCTTTAACCCCCTTTATCTGTGCCGAAACATAGGTACTGGCGTTTCACAATCAGCTTGACAATGCCGTGACATAATGTGAAAATGAAAGTATAGCTCGTTCAGGGCAGAAGTTTACATTTTAACATGTAGCCATGAAACATCAACGGAGTCCTGATTGATGATCAGAAAGTTTGGGTGGCTGCTCTTACAAGGAGGGAAGACGTCAGAAATGATCTTAAATGGGCTATTGTTGCTTCCCATCAGTCTGGAAACGGTTAGAAAGTCGTTTGGCGTCCATTGTTTTAAACTTTGAGGATGGCTGTCAATCATCCCACGGGTGGACATCATAGCATGGTAAAAAACTCCAAAAGCTACATCTCAGACTCTACAGGCCTCAGTTAGGGGTTAAAGGTCATATTAGTCCAATTAGAAAGAAAAGGACTGAACAAAGTGGGCGTGATTGGTCAGTATGCACCGAAACTGGCGATTTGGGCGGGTTCTGCCGCATCAGGACCTGGGATTGGACCAGCGGACCTCCTCCCCGTCCTTCGGCTCCCAGCTGAAGCTCAGATCACAGCGTCTCCATGAGCTGACGTTCATGCATGACTTTAGCAAGATGGCGTGCAACAACTTGAAAGACTGCATTGCTTTGTTAACCAGGAACTTAAAGGTGCACCCCGGGACATAAAGCCATGAATTTGTCATGATGACAAATCAAATTCTGCTAACAGGAACGTGAATTATTTCCTGGCGCTGATCTCGTGGGGGGAATTTTCACCAGTGAAACAAGAAGTGCGTGAAAAGAGCCGGAAAAAAATGGGACCTCAGTGTTTCTGCTGCCACGATTCAGCTTCAATGAGCAGAATCCCCTCGGCGAGAATCGGTGAGCCAATTATGAAACGCTCCTGTCAACAAAACTTCAGAAGAGCCGGCGTCGGTCTTTCATCCACAGCCGGTGTGTTTGGGAGCCCGTCGCTTCTCTGGCCCTCCCAGTTGTCCATTAGTGGTTGACCACAGATTGTAACAGGAAATGGAAGGCTGTTCCCTTCCCAAGTATCGGTAGTAATAACTGCCTGTTGCCAAGACACAGAGCAGAGAGGGTGGGGTGGGGGGGGGGGGGGGTTATTGTGGCAGAGCAAACAGTGGGAGACTCCACCTATGTCCTGGTCAAAAGCAAATGGACAGCACAGTGTTTACACCTGTGTGTGTACAGGGCGGTCTGACAGGATCAAAAGAGTTGAGTTGTGTTTGAATGTAATATTTCTATGGAGAGCAAGAAAATTATTAAAAAGAAGGTTGTGCACTTATAAATGACAACCAATTTGCCAGAGGAATGTGACAAGCTACAGTTAGGCTGGCAGCAACTGTAGGGCTATCACATCCACAGAATCCCTGTTTGATAGAAAGAAATGAAGCATTCACTGTAGGCAAAATGTCAGATTTCTCTGTGATGTGCATGTGTTATATTCGGTGGTCAGTAAAAGCCTCTTTGGGTCACCAACCATAAGCGACGGCCTAGGAAATGCAACATGAATTCATCAGTCATGCTTCAGTTTGGAGAAGAAGACAGCTACAGAAAGTTTCCCTTTTATTATATGACATATTTTGATCATTACTTTTGTGGCTGTGGTGATAAATACATTTTTTAACACTATCTAAGAGCCTAACTTAACCCAGGTTCTGTAGTGTGTCTTTTGGGAAGATGGCTCACTGAATTACAAAATAAATGGAGGAATCAAAGTCTCCAGCGGTGCAAAGTGAGAAAAAGTTGACACTCGCTGTGCCATCTCTATTTAAGTTTAGCCATTAAACGAGCTGTTTGCGGCTCTTCCAGTTCCATTTCTGTTTTATGTGAAGGGCCCGTGATCAGATAAGAAACTCTCACCTGTTATCTTAGGCAGGGAAACATCTAAAACATGCAGGGCAGCAACCCTCGAGCCCCTGAGTTTCAGGCTCGTTCCTACTTCCTTTCAGCATTCTTCCTAAAACTTCGGATGCCTGTTCCGGTATCCTGTGAGATAAAGGGGGCCGGAATGGCCTCCGAGTTATCCCAGAAAATGGATGGGAGGATTGATGGAGTGCAGTGACACTATAGGAAGGAGTTGCATTCAAATAAAAACACCTAGAAGGTCTTACTGTGATAAGATAATAATGTGCATCAGATGGGTGATCTACCTCTCAGTTATTGGAGCACAATAGGAAGAATAACCCGTCTGTTTCCTGAGTAGGATTTGATAACATTAGCCTCCTGATCATTTAATTATTAACATCTCCTGGGACGGATGCAAAGTACAGCAAAGCTGAGCTTGGTCATTTAAAATGTTCAACATGAGCCTTCTAACCGTTCAGCTGATTGCAGTTCGGCTGACTCAGAGCACTGCGGGGGGCTGGGGGGGCTGGGGGGGGGGGGGGGGGGGGGGGGGGGGTTACTGATTCACTGGCTGAAGTGGCGTGTCAGAGCCGTGCATTGTAGTGAAACGGGTAAACATGACCTCAGCTCAGGCGAGGTAAAGTGGGGTTGGCTGAATCCCGGTGTTTTTGTGGAAAGGGCGACCGCGGCAGAAGTTATGAAACTTCTCAACCCCCCCACCCCCCTCCCTCCCCCACCTCAACACCTCGTCATGCTCAAACGCACGCCCAGTGTTACAGGTGGCTTCATGTGGACTTAACTGCGATATTGTTATTTGCTCACACGCGTGAAT